TTGGGTTTTTCATTTAACCACATGTCTGCATTTCAGAAAACAGTTTGTACTTCTGTAGGTGGATCAACCGTACAAGTGATGGACATTGAGATCATGGAACAACTTTCAACTGTTTGATCTGTACAAAAAACGTTTCAGTGTAAACATGAAACGTGGAATTTCGAGGTCCTGGATTTAACACCCACTTATTGCTTGGAGAGTTTCAGAATTCAATATCCGTCTCTCCTATCATAGATAAAGAGTTTTCACCTTAAACATACCGTGTTTCTCCTAAAATAAGAGAAGGCTTTATTTTCTTTTGACCCCTGAAATTAGTGCTTGGCCTTATTTTCACAGAGGTCTAATTATTTTTGAGGTGCAGGAGGCAGCGAGCGTGGTCACCTCATGGCTGCTGCTGCGTTGTGCTGCTGTGGCAACACAACACAGACACTCGTCAGCTGGACGCTTTTCAATCAAAGTACCGCTCAGCTGCGGGAGTAAATGGCAGTAAGGAGTGGGGCGCGAGGCATGTTACTGGGCCTGCCACTCTTTTTTTGTGGCCATTAGTGTGACAGAAGGGCGCCACAGCTAGGGTTGCTGGAGCGGCTGTGGGGTCTGTCGGTCATGTTCCCCTCTCTCTTCCCCCCTCTGGACTTGCCTCCTTGCCTCATTTTGTTTACACAGCAAGCAACCAGAGGAAATGGCGGGAACCAGCTGTGCATGTGTTTAAATATTTTCAGGGGAGGGCTTATTTTAGCACATGCACTCAAAAGCCCGATTGGGCTTATTATCCAGGGAGGTCTTATTTTCAGGGAAACAGAGTAAATACCACTAGAAAAAACTATGCAGGTCTCTAGAAAGAGGACAATGCACATGTTCCACCTCTTGGTCTCACTGTTGGCAATGCAGCACACACTCTCACTACCTCCAGTCCAACTCCTCTTTCTGAAATTTAGCTATGAACAAGGTTCCCTCTGCAGGTTTTTCCTTCAATAGCAAAAAAAAAAATATATGAAAGAGGGTAAGGATCAATGTTCCCTCTAATTTTTTTTCAGTGTGTGCGGAAAATTATAGTGTTCGAGCGGTACATTTTCATGCCTGAGCACCTGAACTTTTTTGGCCATAATTGCCATCAGAGCAGATGTTGGGAGGGGGCAAGGAGGAAAAGGGTCCTCTCCCTCTCCCTCAGACCCCCAGGAAGGAAGGGAGGGAAGGGAGGGGGAGGGAAAGGAAAGAAAATGGGAAACAAGAAAAGGAAAGGAGAAAGGAAAGGAGAAAGGAAAGGAAAAGAGAAAGGAAATAGAAAAGAAGGAAAGGAAAAAGGAAAGGAAAGGAGAAAGGAAAGGAAATAGAAAAGAAGGAAAGGAAAAAGGAAAGGAAATGGGAAAGAAGAAAGGAAAGGAAAGGAAAAGAAAAAGGAAATGGAAAACAAGAAAAGGAGAAGGAAAAGAAGGAAAGGAAAGGAGAAATGAAAGGGAAAGAGAAAGGAAATGGAAAAGAAGGAAAGGAAAAAGGAAAGGAAAGGAAAAGAGAAAGGAAATAGAAAAGAAGGAAAGGGAAAAGGAAAGGAAAGGAGAAAGGAAAGGAAATAGAAAAGAAGGAAAGGAAAAAGGAAAGGAAATGGGAAAGAAGGAAAGGAAAGGAGAAAGGAAAGGAAAAGAGAAAGGAAATAGAAAAGAAGGAAAGGAAAAAGGAAAGGAAATGGGAAAGAAGGAAAGGAAAGGAGAAAGGAAAGGAAATGGAAAAGAAGGAAAAGAAAGGAGAAAGGAAAGGAAAAGAGAAAGGAAATAGAAAAGAAGGAAAGGAAAAAGGAAAGGA